ACTTTCCCACGCTATGTACGCTCTCCTAGGCTTTGATGATTTCTTGTGTGACTTTGATGATTCCTTGTCCTTTCCCTTTTTGTTCATCGGACAGTCCGGTTTGTAGTGACCGGGCTTTCCACACTTGTAGCACGTCCCTCTAGTCTTTTTACCTTTCGAGTCATCATCCTTGGAGTACCTCGATTGTTTCCGGAAGTTTACCAAGTTCTTCTCGGAATGTTGGATGCCGTTCTTTCTCACGTACCGGTTATACCATTTAACAAACAACCCCATATCTTCGCTTGTGTCCTTTTCTTCTTCGTCGCTCGAGGAATAATCATTTTTCTCTTTTGCTTGAAACTTCGAGGAGGAAGTCTTGAGAGCTATCGATTTCTTTTCACTCACCTTCGTTTTGTCTTTCTTTTCCATCTTTTCGCGTTGGTCTAAGCTCAAGAGTACCTGTTCATGCTCTTGCAATTTGCCAAACAATGTTGTTAAATCTAATAAGGTAAGATCATGTGCTTCTTTGGTGGCAGTCACTTTAGGCTGTCATTCCCTGTTAAGACATCTTAAGATCTTATTAGTAGCAATATCATTGGAAACAGGCCTACCTAATGAATGTAAATGATTGATGAGATGAGTAAATCTCTTTTGCATGCCAGCAATGGTTTCCCCTTGCTCCATGAAAAAGAGATCGAACTATTGAGTTAATGTATTGATTCTAGCCAACTTAACATCGTTTGTCCCCTCATGGGCTATTTGTAGTGAATCCCACATGGCCTTAGCAGTAGGACAATGGGATACACGATAATATTCATCTACACCTATTGAGGAGATTAAGATGTTTTTAGCTTTCCAATCATAATTGTATTTTTTCTCATCGTCATCGGTCCATTGTGCTTCAGGCTTTGGCACAACTACATTATCCTCATTGATCATAGTAATTCCTATTGGACCATTAAGGATAACGTTCCATATTTTTCTGTCTATGGAGTTTATATGCACACACATACAGTCTTTCCAATAACTATAATTTTCACCGTTGAAAACAGGAGCCCTATTGTACGCCCCTTTAGGTTCGTTTGCCATTTTCTATCTCGTTGTATTTGAAGCACCGAATAATCGGAGCTCTAGATACCACTTGTTAGACTATGGCACGGATCTAGAAGGGGGGGTTGAATAGATCCCCAATTAAAATTTGAGTCGGCGCTACCAATTTAATATTGGTTTTAAAATTGTTTTAAGTGCGGAAGCGGCCGAGGAAAATTATAGTCTAAAACGAACGGTTATTGGAAAACCGGATATACGTAAGCCTATGGATTTATGACAATTCGGAAAAATAGAATCACAACACAAATATGCTTATCAATTATTTACTTCAGTTGTAAGGTTACCTAGTTCCAATGATTCAAAATCAAACCAATACTAGACACACAAGTAAGATAATTTTGGTTCAAGCAATATGTCAAACACTTGGTGTGCAAAGACACTTCGAGTGATGTTTATGTTGAGTAAGTGATTTCAATCAGCCTAGTACAATGTATTGTTGTACTTTAGAGTTAAAAACAAAGTTTTAATCTCTTACTCAATTGATGTCACAATTTTGACAATAGAGCTTACACAAAAATTACTTATTTGAGCTATAACGAAAATGCTGAAAATAAAGAAGACAAGTAATTTGGTGAGGCAGTTCCCCCTTCATCCTCGCTTCGGGGTACGTCTGCCCTCAATTCTAAAACTATAATTGAGATATATTGAATAGATATCACCTGTTTGAATGAACAGTTTATACAAGGACAAAGCAGCAAAATTACAACAAAAATCTCAATGTGTTGAAAGTTGCCTTCACTCCTTGCCCCTTGATTCAAGATGAATCAAGTTCTTCGATTTGTGTTGATGGACCTCCGACTCCAGCCACCTTATTGAAGAACACGTTGTTGTTCAAACCTTTGGCTCCGGCTGATCTCAACAGCACCAAATCGAACCCGAGATCTTCCCTTCCAAAATCACCGAATCCGCTACTAGACTTGTAAAGACCACCTCTTCACAATCACCTTCGCTCGATTGATCGTTGATGAAGAATCTCGTCCAAAAACCCCCAAAATTCGAACCAATCTTGGATGGCAAAACCCCAATGGTTTTATTCAAGAAAGAACCTGTCGCAATCTTCAAACCGAACTTGATTCTCCAATCTAAGCCTCGAACCTTATCACCTTGAATCTCTCACAAATGCATTTCAAAAATGATTGTGTGTAATTGAAATGTTGTGAGATGTTGAAGATGAAGATGATGAATCTTGGACACCTATTTCACTCTTTCTTGTTTTTGAACACATGAATCAAAAGAATATCAAAATGTTAGTAGACACAAGTGTTTAAGCAAGTATATATAGTGCTAACAAAATTCAGGACATAACAGTATTTCAAATATGAGAGGGAACAATTTTAAAGCAGTTTTTCCGCGCGAACGGTCGACCATAACAGGTCTGTGCATCGACGCATGGCCTGTGCTATTTTGAATTTCTGGAAATTTCATCAGTATGCGTCAACCATACAGTCGGCGTGCGCTGACCGTTGAAATTCATTTCCTTTGTGCGCCGACCCTATGGTCGACCAATGCTTTTATGCGTTGACCCGCTGGAATATCATTCCTTCATACGCTGACCCTATGGTCGACGCATGCTTTGTGCGCTGACTGATTTTCCCTTTTTCTGATGGATACGCCGACCCTATGGTCGACCCATGTCCTGCAAGCCTGCAAAATTTCATTAGTTTGAAGTTTTTCATGCCTTTAGTCATGATTGTATTTTGTCAACTCAAAGTATATTCATTTTAGAAATTTTAAGACAAGCAAAAGAGGAATATGGTGGGTGATATGTTGCATATGGTTTAGTGGATCTGGAATTCATACTTTCCAGTCTATCTTGGGAATTTGTCATCATCGAAACCTGCATTTACCAATGTCTTGCAGATTTGTGTGATATGTGGCGATTTGCCTCCACAGATGAGACTAATTTTGCGGATAACCTTGTACCTTTGACGTAATTGCTAGTGTAATATATTCTTATTATGTTATTTATATGATATCTATGCTTAATACTTATGTTTTACTTTGTGAAACATAAGTGGAATTAGTAAACACTTGAAAATAGGCATCCTAACTTATGACCACCTAAACATACAAGTGGATAATTGATACTCATATATTTGTGTTAAATCTAAATACTTGACCTTAAGTTATAACATGCCAAGGGATTGAAGAATTGGTTTAGTGTTAGAAGTTTAATTACTAAGGTATTATGATTAAATAATCATGGAAGTGAGAAAATCATATGTGATAATAAATTTAGTTAAGAAGATTAATCAACGAGTACAAAGAGAAACTTAAGTGTGACTAATCTCAAACATATCTTTAATTAATAATTTTACACACATGGTTTTTAGCATTAAATCTCTCTAAGCAATCAAGAAATATTTTTGTTCAACTTGTTCAATGATAAATTCAATACTAATTTAAGTCTTCGTGTTTGATACTTAGTGATATTCACCACAATATTACTTGCAATAATCTAATATATTTATAAGGTCGCCATCAAATGTGCATGATATGGTAGGAGAGCCATTTCTCAAGGCCTTTATGTTGAGTTCAATGGCCATATACTTCAACGAGATGGTAGGAGAACCATTTCTTAACTAGTAAATCTATATATACATTTGCTAATGTGTTTTCCTCTGAATTGGTATGTGTTTGTATTAAGCAATATAGCATTTCCTCCAAGTTCATGTGATTGATTAAGTGAGAATTTTGTCCTCTAACTTTAATAAATAGAAGTTTCTATCCAAGCTCTTACGTTTGGTTGATTGAGAATTCTAGGCCCCAAATTCAAAAAGTTGGATTTCTCTACAAGTGCGTATGCATGATTGAGTGAGAATCTCGACCCCCGAGTTCAATACGTTGGTTTCCCCCTCTAGGCTTATACCCTTGTTAGATTGAGAAATTTGACCTTCAATTTAAGCAATTCGAATTTCCCTATAAGCTCCTGCAATTGGTTAAGTAATAACTTCAACCTTCTTTATTCTCTCACTTCTCGACTAGCCACATAGTCAGTGAGGTAATGATACCATCTCTACATCTCGATCATAAGATTCATCCTTGGAGGTATGAAAATAAAAAATTATATTTTGGTCGATGACTTGTTAGAGAGATGTTAGGATGTCAATAACTCCATATTCAAAAAATAAAGATCAAATCACAACGAGTCACACATCTTCCAATATGTTGACACATGTTTACAACAACATTAGAGGCAAAATGACTATGTTAACGAGTCAAATCCATCATCATACAAATCTAAAATACAACAAACTCAATTAACAATAATCCCAACAAATGACTCATAATCAATAGTCATCTACGACTTTGAGTAAAACATTGTCGTGACAACTAACTAGATCATCAACCAATGAAGTCTTATGTATACAAGAGGGACCCCAAATAAGAACTTCATCACCTAAGGTTTGAGGACAACTATTTCAAATCGAACTTTTGATGGACTTAACACCCCATCTTCAATGACATATGTCTTATATCACCATTTTTAATGTATACTATTCTAAATATTGAAATATGAGTGACTTGAACGTAAATATATTTACAAATACATTTTCTAACAAAATCAAAGACATATTTCGACCAAACACATCATCATCTATTAGTATGCTAACCTCACTGATTATATATTAAAAGAAATAATTTATACAGGTTTTAATAAATCTATATATTATTCTAATCAAATACTTCAAGTTTTATTTAAACTAAAAAATAAATTCTTAATCAAATATCACAAAACGTTTTAATTATAGATAATTTTGAAATCACTAACGGAGTATATATATTAATATCAGTCTAAAACCCTTCAGCAACTGAGGACTAAGCACGGTAGCGGTTGCTCATTTTTAGGGTTCATCTCATCGCGTCTCTGCAAATTGCAACATCTCATCGCGTCTCTACACCTAGCTGCCATGGCGAGTACCAAAGTTCAGAGGGTTATGACCCAACCCATTGTATGTCTTCTCAATACACTGTTCCTCTTTCACTTTCACTATGCTTTGTCTCTAACAACTTAACCTAACCTGCGTTTTTTTTTGGTTTTTTCCAGAACTTGATCTTTAGGTTTCTTCAAAGCGTAAGTTCGCACACTTATTTCGGTTATTCCTAATTACCTCAATATTATTTTGTAATCTGATTTCGGTTTTATTTTTTTTTGCAGAAAGCTCGCATTCAGATTTGGCTCTTTGAGCAAAAGGATTTGAGGATTGAAGGAAGAATCATTGTGAGTTTTAGTTTCAAGCCTTGTTTTATTTATGTTGTATCTTCTTTAGTGTATAGAATTATGTAGTTAGGGTTTCACCAATGCTATGAATGATTCTATCATGAGCTTTAGATGTTGTTGAGTTGTTCTCACAAGTATTTACATAGGAGTAGAGTTTCAACTAGTTGTTTGCGGTAGATTTTCAATTCACATAATTTCACAAGTTCCATTATCAATAGAGTATGTTTATGCATTTAAATTTCTATGTTATTGTATCTTTAACACTTTTTTATTTTTTTGAAACGTTTGATCTTTTGGTGGGAATTGAACAATTTAGTCCTCTACTCATACTTTTCATAGAAAACTGTTTTTTTATTATCGTACTTGTACATTATTTTTGCTGTATCTCGTACCGGGACCTGCACCGGGTATCATACCCATATGAATGCATAATAGTTGGTGACCCATTTCGATACATCCGAATCTGTTAACAACGAAGGTGTTGCTGTCCTAGTGAGTCTTTGAAATGTCATACCAAGCTTACTACAAAAGATATCTTTGGACAAGTATGAGATCGATAAATCGGTCTCTCGATCTGTTTTTTATTACATTTCTTTATCTATCACTTTACCAGGTTTTGAAGCCACATCTTTTTAGTAGTTTTACTGGGAATTTCTGCTGCTTAAGTACATACTTTCTTTGGGTTATGTATCTCTAGACGATATTTCAGTAGATCCAATTTCTTAATATCAAACATTCTGCGAACTTCTCTTTCAAGATTGGGAGTTCAGCTTCATTATTGGTCATAATATAATATCAGTCACATAGACAATCACTGCATTAGTTTCTCTTTTTGCTGAGTATTTATAGAAACCTCTTTTTCCATGTTTCCATTTAGAAATGCATCTTCGTGTAAACTTGATATTATAAGGCCATGAACAAATCACTATTAAAGATAGCAGGCTCAAATTGATTTCATTTTTGTAAATTGAGAAGTTTTCTCTTGATAGTTAACTCCTGTGGTTTTTGTAAAATCCCTGGCTACCAGCCTTGCGTTGTTTTATGCACTTGGATCAGCTGTGCATTTGACAGTTAATAAACATTTGCATCTTGTTTCTTGGTGAGTCAACTGCCTATGTTCCGATCTAAAGAGCTTACAACTCTTCCGTCATTGCCATTTTCCACTTCAGATCATCTAGAGCTTTTGTGATTTATCTTGGAGCAAACAAGTAATAAATTCAAACTCGGGAGACAAAGCTCTATGTTTGCTTGACAGAATTTTGTATGACATGCTACCATGCTTGTCAATCTCTGGTGCACTTAATTCAAAAGTCATGCGGGTTTACAACTCTTGGTATCAAAATGAGTTATAACTCATTTGCAGAATTGTTTCCATCTTGAACCCTCTGCAAAGTTGAATGCTTTGTATGAGTCTCAACCCCATAACTTCCAGCATAAATAAGTTTGCAGATTAGAAACCATGAACAAGTCCATTGTTGAGAGTTTGCACCTAACATGCTAACTAGGTGAATGACCCCAACTCTGGTTAGTTGAAACTTAGATCCACTAAGTTGAATTTGGTTCTAACTCAGGGAGCCCAGTCCCTCAGCTTTTCAGTCTCTACTAGTTTTGAAACTTGTAGCTTATCAAATTGTAACCTTTTATGCTCTTTTTGTGTGCTAGTTCCTGAACCTATTTTGTGGTTTATGAAATTGTCCGTCAATTTTGAATTTTGATGCTAGGTTGTGGATTAGCTGTTTTTGTCTGCTCTTATTAGATAACCAATGCAGAAAGTTAAATAACAAATTCCCCTCTTATAGTAGATGCGATATGAATGTGTCTTAGTTATTCATTATTGACATCTCTAAGATATTATGGCACTTGTCTTTATTTTTTACTATCTAGATTCATCTTAGCCACATCCGTACTATCAAAAACTTTGAATTTGAAGCCTCTGTCTCCTTCAACACTTCAGGCCTTTTGGTTCATGAGCTCGGTTTTTAGTGGAAAAGGCTAGATTGTTGTTTTTGTTAGTGTAGATAGCACGTGTTAATTAGAAATTGGATCTTTGAGCAGATGATTGATGATCTTGTGATTTTATTTTGTTGTTTTAAATAGGGTTTTGATGAGTACATGAATTTGGTTTTGGACGATGCTGAAGAAGTAAACGTCAAGAAGAAGAGCAGAAAGACATTAGGTAAAGATAAGCTCCTCAATTTTTTCTTCTATTTGTCTTTGCCACTTGTGCATTTTCTAATGAACCATTGTTTTGATTAGGGAGGATCCTTCTTAAAGGAGACAACATCACTTTAATGATGAACACGTAAGTGAAATTTAAATCACATTTTTATCTATTTCTTTGGTTTTCATCTCCAAAGTTTAAGTGATATAATTTGCTCTTACAAATTTCAGGGGGAAATGATGATGAGCCCATGTTCCATCCAACAAGAAGACTGATTTTATGTTTACATTTTCAGTTTAATGACACTATTTCTCCTGTCAACATGTTGAATATGCTTGTGTGAAAACTGTAATGTTGGCAATATGAAAATTTTCTTCACATGATAAATACTTGGTTGGTTCTATTAGTTATGCCTTGTTGCCTGTATTAATGTCCAGCTTCCAAAACCTAAAGCTAATGTACACTAATATTATAAACTTTCAGTTGTTTAGAGGTTTTTTTTATCATTCTATATTGCACCTTATTCAGGTATTTAATTTCTTGGCAAAGTTTTCGTTTCATTGTATTTGTTATACAATGAATTAAATTCATATACCAATAAATACTATTTACCATGTATATAATAAATGCAATAACAAAAAAGTTTTGATACTTTCATTAGCAAATGTGGCAGTTTTACTTGACCCGTGAGTAACAGTTTTTTTTATGAAGTTTAGATTGTTTCATAATTTCAATGTCAAGGGTCTTTTTAGATAAACAGATTAATCACATTTAAAACGTTTATCAAAATAAGTGTTTACGTGTTTATGATTAAGTTTGCTTTAGTTTATTTTTATAACAAAAGGTAAAATAAAATTAAGTCGAGGGATGTTGCATGATTTTCTAAGGTTACAATTTTTGTTTGTCTTTTTCATCACGTGAGCGTCATTTGTTGTTGAGTTTATGGTTGACTCCTTTCATGATTTTTTTTCTTCTTGGAGTTTATTTCTATATCGTTTCTTAGTACTTTACCATTTATATCGTCCAACTCAAGAGTCCATGATAGAATAGAGAAGAATATAAGATGAGTAAGACACTGGGAAAAATGAGAATGAAATTTCTATTACAATTCTAGAGCTAAGAGTTCCTCTCAAAAAAAGAAGAAACAATTTTTCTTTCTCCGCCTACTACTAACCCACAATGAACGTGCCCCTCCACTACTCTGTCTTTCCTATTCTTAAGGGGAAGTTTCTACTAACTGTTGAATTTATGTGGAACTGTTTTTCTTTCTTTCATAAACTTTTCAAATCTTGGGTTTATCATGTTTAAAGTCCACTAAAGTGTCACCCTCTATTGTAGTGGGTTTATCGGTCCATATGTCTGACTCTTGTGGATCACACTTTCTTCATTGTTGGTCCAGTGACCACTACTCATTATTTCCTTGAGAATTTTGGGATCACACTTTCTTCATTGTTGGTCCAGTGACCACTCATTATTTCCTTGAGAATTTTGTCACGTTTCTGGAGATGATTTGTTGTGGTCTGTTTTTTTTAGCCTTATAGCTTTGTCGTCTTATATATGTATTTGTTTGGTTTCAATGCTATAGCTTTTAGTACATTTACTGTCAATCGTATGCTCTTACGTATACAACACTGTTATTCAATGCCAATACCTACTTTTTTTTTTCTCTCCCAACTAATGCAGTTAGTAAGTGAAAACAATGATGCACAACTGTTGATTTTATTGAAAGCAAGTTTTTGGTTGGTCAGGTAAAAAACTCATTATTTTTAAGAACAAAAACTGAGACAGTTCTGAACAAATTTGGATTGTGTATAGTTACAATTTAGCATGGTCATGTATCGGTACTTGTTGGATTGGACAGTCCAGATTTTGATTTTAAATTCTACAATAAAATCTTAATTGTCCGATCTTAATCCAACAACCACTATTGTTACTGAAAGTGTGACAAACATTTTAGTTAAAAACAACATTACATTTACGTTTTAGTTAAGGACACAGTTTAATTACAATTTGATCAGTGCTAGATTATTTACCTATGAATCTAACAAAACGAACCAACACGCAAACCGAAGGCAGAGAGAGAATCAATATCAATAGACTCAAAATTGAAAAAGAATGGAATCATTTCATTTCTCTTCCCACTTCACTATATAAATATCTTTTCCATACAAATTGCTAATGGCCTAGAAAGAAAACACTCAATTATTTTCTTTTTCGTTGCTGCATCTTTTTAGCCTATAACATAGTCTTCAAATCCCTTTTACTCGATTGAAGGTCGAGTTGTGTTTGGCAATCTCCTACCACTCACAAAGGAACTGAACAGATGCAGTGCTCTTGAAGGTTGTGCATATGGTACCATGTGTGCTGCTCCTCTTACCGTAGCGAATGTCAACAAGTTTCCATATTCGGTCGCCCAACCTCCAACCTGGCCTTTGTGGAACCAAGCTCCATATGGGACTGTAATCTCGAATTTCAGGTCATGAGCTAGTTCACGAATCAGTGTTCGAGAACCTAGTAATGGCACAACAGAATCTTGGTCTCCGCTATCATAACAATTTCACATGAACAATTAGCATTACGTAACATAACTTACTATCAAATTGTATAGATTAAATAGCCAATGAATCTTCGTCGTTGAAAATAATTACCTGAAAACCCATACAGGAATATGGTTTTCAACAATCCGTTTGAGAGTTGGAAGCATATTCGTGTTAGGATCTGTATTGCTGTAATTTAAAACGCTGCAGCGGAGAAAAAGTGCATACAGTAGTAAGATTTCAAGACATTCGACAAATAATAGTTACATCAAAGTATGCATTATAGTTCATACTTACCGACTGCACATGGACCATGGATACGGAAGATTGGTTCTGTTAGCGTGAAGAGCCTTTTGAACCTCGGGGAGGTTGAGGTAGAAACGTCGTTCGTAACTCATACAGACATCTATACCTAAACTAATTTTAGTAGCCTGCATTAATAAAATAACCGAATTCGTTAGTCTTTGAATCTATCCAAAGTTACAAGGTATCATCACCAAGATGCTAAAAAGTACCATCTTTTTCAATCTCAGTTCTTGTTCAACTATGGACGGATAACAAACATCGAGAAGCACATCATAGTTGTTTATATAATCACCGACGATTTTATTAGCGTCACTTATGGCATTGCTGCATGATTCAGATACATTATGAGGAGATGCAAAGATATAATCATCAAAATCACAATCTTTCATAATGGCAAGGCCAACTTCATCAGAAATCATTCCGTGTGACCAGAAGTAATCGTATGTTGCTTGCGTATCACGATCCAGATTCAAAAGTGGGTTTCCAATCTAAAAAAGTCCAGAAAAAAGCTTAGATTACTTTAATTAACTTCAATCAATAGCCAAAAATATGAGATTAGTCCAAAAGTGACAAAAATATTATGAACAAATTAAAAAAAAAAAGGCATTTTATCATATGAATGGGATCTTACAGCAACTCCTTTCAATTTGAATTTGTATCCGGTTGAACGAGCATTATAATCGAGAATAGCGTTCGCTAACTGAGGTATGTAATGTCCTGAATAACAAAAGTAGAATATTTTGTATCACAACCGATTTTTGAGAATTTCGAAACAATAAACTAGTTATTATAACTGAAATCTGACTATTGTCTTTGTTGAACCTGCATAGCTTTCTCCGGTAAGAAACAGCTCTCTTGATTTGTAGATAGGAAACTTCTCGTACCATTTGAGCAAGAACAAAAGCGCATCATTGGCTGCCAAAAACAAATTAAAGAATCACATAAATATCTAGTAAAACCAAAAAACCGCATAGATAATAACTACATAAGTTTATTCACATAAAGTTTGATTCGATACCTGTGGAGGCGTCACCGATGTTATAATCGGAAGTTGTGTTCGAGTATGACCAACCAACTCCAGCAGGAGACTCCAAAAAGAGAAGATTTGAAGCTATGAAAAAAGAATACACATATTATATATAGAATCAATGTACAAAACCATGAAGCACAACACTAACACAGACCACGGACACTACACCAGACACGTCGACACAAGTGTTGATACGGCTACAGAACCTACAACTCAAAATACTCTCCAATATCAAAATACAAAAACACACACCTCTATTCCAAGACATTGAATTCTTCCTTAAACCGCGTCCATCGCCGGTAGGATAAAACGGACCTAATTCAGTAAAAGCACCTCCTCCAATGGAAGAACATCCCGGACCTAAAAAATTAACAAAGATACCACTTAATTTGAATTTGATGTAACCATTGCAACAAATATATAAAAATTGAAAAAGTATGGCATCTTTTGCATAAAGTGACAGATTCATTCGACATTTTTATCCTTAGATTCGGTTCTTGTCAAGAAAAAACACAACACAAGTACAAAGAAATGACAACATATGCTTTTCACAAAAAGATAACAAAAACATATGAAAATCAAAACCTATTATTATTACCTCCATTGAGCCAAAGAGTGAGAGGTTTCTTGTCAGGTTCATATTCAGCTTCAACAAAATAGTAAAAGAGGCTTCTGCCATGGTTTACATCAATATCAACATAACCAGAATATTGACTGAATTCAACTTTAGGTTGTCCTGGAAGCTTCACCACAAGATCCTCAACAGGGTACCCTTGTACTACCAGTAAAGTTCCATAGATCACCACTATCAATGCACCAACCAACCAACACTTTGTCATTGTTATGTTATTCCCTCACAAGATACCCACTCTCTATCTAGTTTCTGATAAGTTATTTAAGTAATGTATCAGATTTGAAATAATAAATGTTAATGTTGGATAAAATAATAAATAAAATATTGTTTTACAGTCAATAGTCAACAAGAATGAATTTGGAAGTTTGTTTGTAATTAAATATTATTAAATTGAAAAATTTGCCGTTACTGATACTACTCATTTAGTTCCAACGTTTCTTGTTGTAGTGACATAGACATCATGATTGTTTGGCTTTTTTTCGCCGTGTATTTCATCGCCACGTTTGAAGATTCTTGGGCTGTCATTTTCCGTTTAGACTTTATGGATTGCATTTTTTCTTTTAAATTTTTTTTCAAGTACATTAAATAACTGGTACATCTACATACTAGTAAAATATAAATAAATTAGATATATAAATTATTTCAGAAACAATAATTTTATTTATAGATATTATTAAAGTGAGTATTTATTAATTAATTTAATTACTATTTTTTTAAAGGTTATACATTTAATTAACTAAATTGACATTGTTAAGATAACTTTTTAATTCAATAGAAAGTTAAGAATTTTTATATTGTAATTTTGTCTAATCTTCTATATTAGACGAGATGAGTGATGTTGTTGAGTACACAATGCACTTTTGTGATAGAAAAAATTAATGGAAGAATTATTTTGATTTTTAAATAATTCAAGTTAAAGAAGTGTTGATACAATCAAAGTTGTACAAAGTATTGAATATTGACATTTATATGGATATTGATTGAAATTAATGGAATATGTGTTGTGAGAATATTCGAAGATGACAACATGAAAATTGCATCATAAATTATCATTTTGATTTTTGACAAGTGAATTATGAATATCTTTCTGGTGATCCTAACTTTTGGTTAGTAGCCGTTGTTATCTTCTCGCTCAGTTACGTTTTCAGTTATCCCAACTTTTGGTTGGTGTCCGCTACTTGTAAGTCTACCTCCGGCTGGCAATCTTTGCACTTGGTCCATTCTCGCAGATTGCAAATTTTTGGGTTCTTTTTTGTATTCAATCACCTTTTACCATGAATGTTTAAAAGCGGTTGTTTTTCATACCTTCAGGTCCAAGTTGTTTGAATAGGGGCAGTTGTTGCACCCCAAAATTTGCCTTTCTCTTTTTCTAACCTTAACTGGCTCTTGCTTCACATTCATATGCATCTTATTTATGTCATAATCATGTTTTGCATTGGTCTTCTAAGACATGAGATTAAAGGACTCTCTTGTTATTGGTGTTTGCCCTATTTAGAGGCGATTCAGTTGGTTCCTATTTCAGTCAAGTCTGAAGCAAGGGTTCAAATCTCATTGTTGTAATTTCTCATCAAAGTTCGCCATGTATCAAGTTTATCTTCTTCAAGATTCCTCAGGAGTTTCATCATTGATTTAATTGAAAAGGCTGTGAATTAGGGTTTTGGTTATCATCAAGTCATTGGTTCATCAGTGTGCACTTCAGGCGAAAATTAGGGTTCCTCACCCATGGTGTTTAAGATGAATTTGTTAGGGATCAGTGCATTTGTAGGCAGGGTTGTGGAGAGTAAAGTTTATATTCTAAGGCATGTTCATTTGATTTCAAGGTTTTTTATTGTTTCATTTGATTCATTATGAAGGCCTTGATTTATTGGTTTCATGGATTCAAGGTGCTAGTTCAAGGTCAATTCAAGAATTTCTTCGGTTCAGTGATTCAATTTATTCAAGATTCAAGTGTGATGAATAGTGGATTTCTTGCCAAGAATTAATTCGAAGTTTCTTTTTCTCTATGTGAAAATCCAACAAAATGTGCATTTTAGCTAAGAAGGTTTTTGTTCACATGGGAGCCAAGATTTGATTTAATGATAAGTTAAAATTCAAAAAATTTGGTCAAAGGCTTTATGAAAAATGTTACAAGATGATGGGCGATTCGCAAGTGCACGAATAACGTCAAAGTAATATAAAAGATTATCGATCTCACAGAGACCAAACGTCAATCTATCGATTACTATTGTTACGGTGTTTATCTAAGGCAAATCAAATAAAGGATTGGGTTGTGCGAAATAAAAGTAAAGTACGAAAATAAATTCAATAATAAAGCAACATGCATAAATGCAATTCATATAGCTACATAGTATTCCAGATGTGTACATATAGGATTCCTTATGGGGTAATATTTTCTACTCATGAAAAGAACTAATTTAACGGCAACTGTCGCTTTCGCGTATTCAGAAATGAGTTTATCCCTAATCGACCCCTCTTATTGTCACTTATAAAAAGGTGTGCATTGCGTTAGGATTAATAAACTTATTTTTAAGAAATATAGTTTCTTGACTTAGTTGAAAAGTATTTTAACCTGGAATTTCTAACAAAAAGAGGTTCTTGCGAACCGGACTTTAAATCCATAAACGCGTCCGAAAACAATTTTAAAATTGGTTTTCTTAAACATTAAAGATTCCTAATCGAATGAGCCAAGCGCTTTCGCTTCCTTGGAACAATCAAGACTAACCAAATTTATCTAAAGGTTGGACGACTTTCGATCTTACCCAACAGATTTTAAGTACAGAAAATAAGTGTTAAAAGTTAAAATAACCCCTAAGTAATTCTACTGACAACTGTGTGGAATACTAATTATAATTATAATCCTCACATCCTAGCCTTTAAGATTTAGCCGGACATGGTAAATAAATGCGAGTAAATAAAGCGCGGGTAAATAAATAAATAAAGTGGATGCGAGAAATAAACGGTGCGGGAAATAAAGGGTGTAGGAAATAAAGTGCGGGTAAATAAATAAAAGGCAATAAATAGACAGAAACCTGCTCTAAACGAGAGGCTTTAAAATCTTGAACAACTGAAAGTAAAAAGACTGAATTAAAATGGTGGCAGGTTTAACTTCTACCCAAGTGCTCCAAACTCGATTACACGGTGTGATAACCCCTCGATGTGAGAAGTTTATCACTTTACAATAGGTGAAATTTATGGCTTGAGTTCTGTTCTCTAAGCTTGGATGATTTGAAATGAATAAGAACTCTTCTATTTATAGAGGTAGGAAAGTACAGGTAAAGACATGAATGCCCCCCAACTCCTTTTCGGAGGGAAACATCTGTGTGAAGGTGGCGCCCGCCACATGAACTAGGATGGAAAGGAGTGGGAGACGTGGCAGTTGTCAGCAGTTGGCTTGCATCCAATGTGTGGCATCCCCTATGGCGCCCGCCATGGTGAAAGCCATGTGTACATTTCCTCAGAAAGTGGGGTTTTCAGCTCGTTTTTCTTCATTTCTTCTCTAGTAGCTTTAAAAATACAAAAAACTGAAAAAGAAACAAAACAAAGGCATCATACAAGAAAACAGAAATAAAATAATAAATAACGTGTGTGAAATTGAGTCAAATAAACAGTATAATTTAAGCCTATCACAAGATTTAAAAGTCCTTTAGTTCACATGAGATCTACAAGATGCTCCAATTTGTTAGAAGGCCCATTTTCACAAAAAGTTATACAAGGAAAAAGCACATGATCAGCAATTACCTAAAAAAAATGATGAAGAAACAAGGTCCACGGACAAACATCACACGTAGTCAACCATTTACACACCAAGCCAAAGCAACACTTGACAACCATCATGACCATATTCTCTAGGACATATCTTGCAGCGTACACAAAACTATACTCTAACCGTGATATGGTGCATACGAAGCGCTGCTGAAGCCTGTCATAAAACGACACAAACCCCACACATGACTTACTGCTCCAAATCAAAACCAATTTCTGCAAACCGTAAAGTCATCCAAGCCGCGTAAACATCGTACAACCTGGAACGACCATCAAATAATACAACTGCGACATAATCTGCTACACTTGCCAAATGATACAAAGACAAAAAACTGACCTACAATGTACCACTAGCCATAACCCATTTTCACAATATGCCTTTTGCAGCAAAAACGGAAACAACAGGATTCGCAGCACGTCTTGCAAGTTGTACCCCACAACAAGACCACAACACTTTACTACAAAATCGTACATCTATTTTTCACACTCAATACAACCCACACGCACTCGTAAACAATAATAATAGTGTTGCAAATACGCGTCCACCCACAACACGTCTGATCTTAAAAAACCTTTATCACCTCAAGCTTCCCTTCGGATTTTCACCCAAAAAAAATCACTCTGTAAAAACCAGCTAGCCCTTTCATTTTTTTCAAAGACACTCATCCTCAATCCTCAAACCCTGTAACAACAAAATCCTCCTTCTCAACACCTTTTTCGCTCAATCTTCAAAACCTATACCAAACCCATCATTGACCACCAAAAAACCCATACCAGAAAAAATAGGGAAACAAAGAAAGACTGATACTTTGAGATGCTTGAAATCAAATAGAATTGCAAACCATAATTAAATCGAACCTGGATCGAAACCGGAGGTTGAATGTGAATCTAAAGTCGCAAGAAAACGAAGGACGTGAATGAAAATGATTCAGAGAGGGGGGTCTTCACAAAGATGAAATCAAGTCAACCGAAAACAAGATGAGGGTCAAACCTGAAGAAAAGCTAACAAGGCGGATGAAGGATCTCTCAAAGGTTGCGAGGCTGATGGCGTCTTTCTTCAGTTATTTTTATTTTATTTTTTCCTTCCGATTTCACTTCCCTTTTCTGATGATATTGTTGCTTTTCGACTTGATGATGTGATCTTTTGTGTTAGGATCTAACATTTAAAATAGGATAGAAACAATTTCATATCACTTTGGCTTAATAAACATGATGTTATGTTAACACCAAGGCTAGGTTGTTGGAATAATGGGCCGTAAGGCCCATATTGCTTTTCACACCTCTCTTTTACTTGTTACCATCTGTGTTTTCTCTTGCTATGAAGGGATGCTGGGCTTTTAAGCCCACATCATTCTTACATCTTATTTTTACACCTTCACCTGACCCTTTGTTTAGTTTTTTATTATAATTAGTTAAATAGATTTTGAATTTGCTAATTAGAAA